GACCTCCTAGTTCATAAGTCAACCTCAACCACTGAGTCATGCTGACTGGGCACCTTAAAGAATTTTTTTAAATATGTTTTATTGTCCCCCTCCCCTGTGCTCATTAGAAAAACCTTAGAAAAAGCTGACACCCCAAGAGAAGAAAGTGAATTCATTTCAATTTTACCGAGAGGCAGCCACTCTTCAGGTTTTGGCAAATATTCCCTCTAGTCTTTTTCTAGCAAAAAGGTGGCTGGTGTTTGTTCAGCAATTGCGCTGTCAAACACTTCTACATAGAACGCTTGATCTGGTCTTCACACTTCTAAGGGGCTTCACTTGACAACACAGTGATTGATTCTCAGTAACTGGTAATTGCATACTTAATTGTATTCTTGAAAAGTTTAAAATATTAGGTAACATACAGATAAAGCTGGAATCTCCCTAGATTCCCACCCCATTCTCCTGGTGGTTTGTAACTTTTTTTCATGCGTTTTAATGGGTTCTTTCACTTAGCAACATATTTTGAAAATATTTCCCTGTCACAGTCTTCTTACAGGGGTCCCAAAAAATGTATACACACGGTAACAGCGGGTAGCGCAATTGATGTTTCTTTCTGTGCAGATTAACCCATTAGAATTAATTTAAATCCATTTCCATTTAAATAGGCACACGTGGCTGGTGGCTGCCATATGAGGTAGCACTGGAGAGTAAGCTCCTTTCCTTCAATCAGGCAAGCAGTTGAACAAATATTAGACCCCTTCCAAGCGCCAGGATTGTTTGTGGCGCTGGGAGGTCAGCAATGACAAGACAAAGTCCCCAGGGAACATGGAGAGAAATCTCAGACCTTTACAAAAACAAATAAGACCGAGTCGTAAGTACAAAGTGACTCGAGGTTGGAGAGGTGTGGGTGGAGACCTCAGGGGTTTCTGGGGTCTCCGCTGAGCTGGGACCTGGATGATAAGAAGTCAGACTGTGAAGAGCTGTGGGAGAAGGTCGGAGCACGGCATGCTGGGAGCAGAAGGCTGGAGCCCAGCAGGGTGGGAGGGGAGGGGTGAGAGTGCTCGGTCACCCGGAGGCAGGCAGGGCCCGGCCAGTTCTCTCCATCTGAGGAGAACTGAAACCGAGGCTGACTCAGCCTGGTGCGCCCAGAGCATCTCTGCAGAGATCCTGACCCTCCACCCCAATGACCTGCCGCCGCGGGAGGAGGGAGGGCATCTGGCCCACAGACAGCCTTGTTGTGATGCGTCAGATGACTCGGGAACGAGCCCAACCACTTTCCTGCCTGCTCTGCGACATCCATTTCCAAACTGGGCTGTTTTCAGATGCTATCACTTGTTCCTGGAACTCCTGTGACCCCTCTCTTCTTGCTCCATAACACTAAGAATGCGTTTCTCTGAGCAAGGGAAAACAAGTCTTCAGTACTCCTGAAGTGCCAGGAATGCTTTCGTCCCTCCCGCCCATCACTTATGAGCGGGCTGATTGCTAACGAGCGTCTGGTGCTATGACCGTTTTTTAGTTTAGCCATCCTGATAGGGGTGTAGAGGTATCTCATTATGGTTCTCTTTGCACTTCCTTAACGGCTAATGATGGGACACCTCTTTTCATGTGTTTCTTTGCCATCTGTACGCCCTGTTTGGTAAAATGCCTGTTCATGATTTTTGACCATGTATAATTGAACAAGAGGCCCAGTGATGAAATTTGTGCACTGGAAGAGGGGGTGTCCCTCAGCCCAGCCTGGGGCCCCTCAGGGGATGTCCAACTGCTTGTTTAGGCCCAATCCCACAGGGCCTAAACCAGCACTTGGACATCCCTCTCACAATTCGGGACTGCTGGATCCTAACCATTTGTCTGCCTGCCAGCCTGATTGACACCTAACTGCTCCCCTGCCGGCCTTATTGCCCCCAAATGCCCTCCCCTGCTGGCCATCTTGTGATGACATCGGGGTGGCCATCTTATGATGTGGGGGCATCCATCTTGTGACGGCCATCTTGTGATGACATGGCATAGCCATCTTGTGACAACATGGGGCAGCCATATTGTGATTACATGGGGGTGGCCATCTTGTGATGATGTAGTGGCGGCCATCTTGTGACAATGTGGGGGTGGCTATCTTTGTGATGACATGGGGTGGCCATCTTGTGAGGGTCAATTTGCATATTGCATCTTTATTATATAGGCTTGTTTGATTTTTTTTACTGTTGAGTTTTAAGAGATTTTTCTATCTCTTGATACTGGTCTTTTGTTAGATATGTGGTTTGCAAATATTTTCTCTGAGTCTTTAGCTTGTCTTTTAATCTTTTTTTAAAGGGTCCTTCACAGAGCAAAAGCTTTTAAGTTTTATGAGATCCAATTGATTAGTTTCTCCCTCTAATGGATCATACTTTTTGGTGTCAAATATAACAAATCTTTTTTAGTCTTGAATTCTAAACATTTTCTCCTACTGTTATTTATATTTACATTTAGTTTTGTGCTTCACTTTGGGTAAGTTTGGCTTCATGAAATTTCACTCCACGCATGCAGGGTTCAGTGTTCAGCAGCAGCTCCGGGTGCAAGGGGACTGAGGCAGGTCTCTAGTCCTCTAGCTCATGTAGCTCCCACCCTCTGCTACTCTGTCAGAACCTCTGCTCTCAACCATTACACTCTAACGGTTAAGTTAAAGGTCGTACAAAGTATTGATCAGTTGCTAATCAATTATACTTGCTGAGTTCCTGACTATAAGTAAGGCCCCAAAAGGATGCAAAGAAGACATCTGTCTTAGTCATGGTTCTTCAGAGAAGCAGAACCAGTAGATAGAAAGTGACAGAGGTAGATACCTGCATACGTGGGGAATTGGCTCACGTGAGTATGGAGGCCGAGAAGCCCACTGATCTGGGGAAGCTAGAGACCCAGGAGAGCCAATGGCATACACACAATTCCAGTCGGAAGGCCTGAGAAGGAAAGGTAAGTCCCATGGTGTGAGTTCCAGTCGACGCTAAGTCTGAAGGCAAGAGAAAAACAACCCCAATTCAAAGGCAGTCAGGCAGGGAGAGAGGGTTCTCCCTTTTCAGCCTTTTGTTCTGTTCGGGTCCTCAGTTGCCCAGATGAGGAGCATCCACAACAGCAATGGAAGTCTACTTCACTCAACCTACCAGTTCAACATTGATCTCCTCCTAAACACCCTCACAAGCACACCACATATCCAGTCACATCCTGTCCATAAATTAACCCTCACAACTTAGTACACCAGCCCCAGCCCCAGCGTGCACGCCCACATGAGCCCAAGGCAGGGATTGGGAAATGTGCACAAACCTAGTGGTCAGGACGGTGACAGGAGCTTGAGCAATAGGATTGCACAAATCACGATACTGCTCTCTCTCCCATCTGACTCATCATTCGCCCTCCCCTCCCCCACCCCCACTTGCCAGTCCCTCCAGCCTTCTCCATCAACGAGAAGTCAGGTATGGACTGCCTCCTCCGACCCCGGGTTTCCCAGCTTTGATAAAGTTTTTGATTCAACATGGGGACACGTCATGTCCCAGGTCAGGTCTGGCCCTGAGAACCTGACTTGATTCTCTCTGGGTCTTGAGATCTCAGACTTTGGAGCTGGACACTCCATAACAATCCCAGTTTTGAATCTTCTTGACAGAAAAAGAGGGCCACAAGATAGAAGGCGTGAGGGGTATGGGAGGGAGAAGAACTTGAGGGAGGGAAGTGGGAGCTCGGAAGCTGCCAAGGGGAAGAGACTGGGAGCTGGAGGAGTCCTGCCCACCGTTTATCCAGAGGTTACAGAATAATACCTCCCAGATAGAATCCAGCCTGTAGGGACGTTTTGTTTAGATTATGTTTTCAATGTTTTGGGTCTAGTATTCAATATTTCAACGTTTTGTGGTCTAGTATTCAAACAGCCTTTTTTGCACAAAATTCCTAGCATCCTTGACAAATCAGAAGGCATCGTTGACAATTGGCCCACATGGCAATTGGTTGGAATGCCATAGACACTGCCCTCCTCAGAGAGAGCATCTGACCTCTGTTTTGCTACTGTCACCACTATTCCCTACTGTCTCCTCACACGGAGGCTCAGCATCATTGAACGCTGAGCTGGTGCTGTTTTTCTTACTCCCGAGCTGTCTAATAGTTTATCTTACCAGCCTGCCTCCAGGGACATATACATGTTCACCTCTTGGGCAGTTTGAATCTTTATTTAATAGAAGTACCAAGCTCAGAGGAAAGATATACTCCGGTGACCATCTCAAGTGAACTAGTGGCAGACCAGCTCCTTGGCCAGAGCACTGAGTGCATGTCCCGGAGGCAGTGTCCGGAAGGTGTTTTCCGCGGAGGCACTCCTGGGAAATGAAGCCGGGGTCGCCATCAGGACTCCCTCCCTCCCATTAGCCCAAGCGGTGGCCACGGGACTCCAGACTGAAGGGAAGAAGAGCTGGACTGCTTATGTAGGAGGCTGGTGGTGGGGAAACCAAGTGGTCTGGGCATGAATGCCCACATGGCAGAAAACATCTTCATCAGAGCTAATTTGCCAAAACTGGTTTGGCTCAGTGATAGAGCGTCGGCCTGTGGACTGAAGGGTCCCAGGTTTGATTCCGGTCAAAGGCATGTACCTTGGTTGTGGGCACATCCCCAGTGGGGGGTGTGCAGGAGGGGGCTGATCGATGGTTCTCTCTCATCGATGTTTCTAACTCTCTGTCCCTCTCTGTAAAAAATCAATAATATATATATTTTAAAAAAAAATCAGAGCTATCTTGGGTGACACAGAACATGGGGTGCCTGAAAGGAAGCCTCATGTTTGTGGGGCTCGGGCCAGAAGGGGAACAGAAGTCCAGGCAGACCTTTCCGCCAGAGCTGGCCACTTCTGCCTTGGGAAGTGTTTCACAACGCCCCATGTGTGTGAGGACAGCAGGCTCACTGCGGATGGGCGAGAGGGTGTGGGCTCACGCAGGGACATGCACTGGCACCCGGAGAGGGAGCGTGGGCCGAGGAGCTGGCCAGCACGCCACGCACACGCAGCGAGTGCCTGACCTGCCGTCCTCATGACGAGTGAGTATCCCCCTCCGGGGCCGGGGGTGGGGAAAGGCAGGAGGCAAAGGCAGCCCTGGTCCCCACGGGAGCCCTGCTCTGGACCGGAATTCTGGACGCGAGCCTGGGGTTGGGTTCTCTGCGTCTCCTCGGTCTGATCTCCGTGTGCTCGGAGCCCCTGGGACTTCTCCGGCTGCTGGAGGAGGCGGGGGGAGGCCGAGGGGCACACGTGTCCGTGTGAGTGTCTGTCAGCCCTCCTCAGAGCCCCGTGTCCGCTCTGCATCCTCTGCGGCGGAGGGATCTGGGTTTGGGGGGGGGAGGGTCTCTGCACTCCCATGGAAAAAGAGTGATGCTGAAGGCTCCACTTCTTCTTCTTCTTTTTTTAATGTATATTTTATTGATTTTTTACAGAGAGGAAGAGAGAGGGATAGAGAGTTAGAAACATCGATGAGAGAGAAACATCGACCAGCTGCCTCTTGCACACCCCCTACCGGGGATGTGCCCGCAACCAATGTACATGCCCTTGACTGGAATCGAACCTGGGACCTTTCAGTCCTCAGATAGACGCTCTATCCATTGAGCCAAACCTGTTTCGGCTAAGGGCTCCACTTCTGACATTGTATGGAACACTTGGTCAAGGGGTGAAGGTGACGGACCAAACATGGAGGTCTGGGCCCCTATCCAGCTGGGCTTTGATTCTGCGCTTGGCCAGGAGGAGGCAGGGGAGGAGGATACATGGCGTTAGCAGGTCACTGACCATGCCCCACGGGGCCCTTTGCAGGTGACAGAGGTCCCCGAAGGCTAAGCAGCCCCAGCTATGGCTCCATCTCCAGCCTGCCCGGCCCGGGGCCACAGCACGCACCTCCCGGGGAGACCTACCTGAGCGAGAAGATCTCCATCCCGGACACAAAGCCGGTGGGAATGCTGGGAACTTCCTGGGGTCTCTCAGGACGGACAGGACAATATGGGGTGGGGGCGTGTCTCACGGGCTGGGTGAGGGAGTCCCCTGAAGACCATGGCGCTTAAGTCCCTTCCAGCTCTGAGCCAGGGTGCTGGGCCGTGTCACTGCCCCCTTCCTGCTGCTGTCTCCAGCACTTAGCTCACCATTTGTCTTAAAATTACCCATGGCTTCCTGGATGAGCCCCAGCTTTCCTAGGAAGGCAAAGGGTCTTGGGGTGGATTCAGGTTGGAGCCTCGAGGATTTGTTGTCAAAGGAGAGGACCTAGACAAAGGCATTGGGAGCAGCAGAGGAGATGGTGGGCTGGCATCTGGATGCTGTCCCCTGCAGTTCCAGAACCTTTAGCAGCGCCCAGGCTGCCAGACCAAGCCCTGGAATTGGGGGTGGAGGGGTGGGGGGCTGTCTTGGCTCAGTGGATTCTAGGGAGGAGGACCTATGGTCTGACAGGGGGCTGGAGGGAGGAACTGACCAGGGAGGCCTGACCCCAGGAAAGCCCCCCATTGGGGCTCCAGGGCCTGCAGGGTCAGGCAGGCCGCTGCATGTGCTGGACCCATGGCGGCCGATGGGCTGTTAGCAAAGCCTGCCAGTTCCTCCCACCCCGCGTCCTCCACCAAGCCCTGGGGAGTGGGCTCCAGGAATGGGGCCCCGAGGGCGGGCTGCCCAGCTGGGCTGGTGAGCGGCTTGGGATTCCGCGGGGGGCGGGCCGAGGCCGGTGACCGCGGGGCGTCCTCACCCCGTTTCCCCCTCCACCCCTGCAGGGCGCGTTCAGCCTGCGGAAGCTGTGGGCCTTCACCGGGCCCGGCTTCCTCATGAGCATCGCGTTCCTGGACCCGGGGAACATCGAGTCAGACCTGCAGGCCGGCGCGGTGGCTGGATTCAAAGTGCTGGAGTGGGGGCACTGTGTGGGGGCGCCGTCGGGAGGGGCGGGGGGACCGCTTAAGGGCGTGGAGACCCCTGCAGGGCCGCTGTTCAGGGAGAGGCTCGGTGCCAAGGAGCCAGAAACGGTCCCCAAGTGTAGGGTGTGTGGGGAAGAGGGTGGTCTTCTTTCTCTGTCCCCAGGGAGTGTCCTGGGTCAGAGGGTGCCACCGGTTCTGGGGTTACACCGCCCCGCCCCCCTGGCTGACGGCCACCCCCTGCCCGCTCACAGCTGCTCTGGGTGCTGCTGTGGGCCACGGTGCTGGGCCTGCTCTGCCAGCGGCTTGCTGCCCGGCTGGGCGTGGTGACGGGCAAGGACCTGGGTGAGATCTGCCACCTCTACTACCCGAAGGTGAGCCTGTGGGGCCCGGGTGGGAAACTCCCGCAGGGCCCGAACCCGAAACAGCCGCGTACAGGTCCCACGACCACACACATGCCTGCTTTCCAGCGGGGTGTTACCCGCCCCTTTGACAGACAGAACACGGAGGCTCACTGACAGCACACAGGCTGAATGGGGCTCTAGACAGACCCTGTCCCTTTTATAGAAGGGGAAACGGAGGCCTTGAGAAGGAACTTGCTGAAGGAAAAAGGTAGCGAGGCATCAGCGTGGCCATTGGCTGGGATGGATGCTGGGCCCTGGCTATGTCAGTGTTAGCTATTGCCAAGGTATTTTAATATATACAAATATATTTTATCGATTTTTTTACAGAGAGGAAGGGAGAAGGATAGCATGTTAGAAACATCGCTGAGAGAGAAACATCCATCAGCTGCCTCCTGCACACCCTCCAGTGGGGATGTGCCTGCAACCAAGGAACATGCCCTTGACCGGAATCGAACCTGGGACCCTTCAGTCTGCAGGCCGACGCTCTATCCACTGAGCCACACCGGTTAGGGCATCGCAAAGGTGTTGAATGCAGGGATGTAGCCACACACGTGCTGGGAGAGCTGGGGCCGCAGTGGCAGGAGGTCAGAGTGTCACCCAGAGGTCAGAAACCCGCTGGGCGGGAGCCAGGAGCCATCCTTCGCTGCCGAGACAGCCATGGTGCCCGGCGCCCAGGCTGCCCGTGCTTTCGCTGCCAGAAACACCGCCGGAAGCAGGGAAACGATCTCTCCCTGCCTTTTCACCCCCCATGAGTGTCTCCTGGCAAACCCAGCGGGAACCAGCGGACAGGCCAGCTTCAGGTGGAGTTAGGAGGCCTCTGGCCCGGCAGGACGGGGCTGAGTGTGGGAAGGTGCATGTAGGACTGACAGACGCCTGTCCCGCTCTGAGGAAGGTTCCCTCCTCCCCCAGGTGCCCCGCACCCTCCTCTGGCTGACCATCGAGCTGGCCATCGTGGGCTCGGACATGCAGGAGGTCATCGGCACGGCGATCGCCTTCAGCCTGCTCTCGGCCGGACGGTACGGCCCCGAGGCTCAGCCACCACTCCTTCCTCAGGCCTTTCCTCCCTGCGTCCACTTCCTCTGCCGTCCCTGGGGCTCAGAGCGCTTGCCCAACCTGCCAAGTGGGGAACAGAGACCCAGAGATGCAGCGACTGTGCCTAAGGTCACACAGTGTCAGCGACCTTGCAGGCGTCGCCCTTCCTCTCCGTCCTGTGCCCTCTCCAACTTCCGCACACCGGCCCCTCTCCTGTGGCTGTCCACCCCCGCACACACCCGGCCCCTCTCCTGCGGCTGTCCACCTCCACACACACCCGGCCCCTCTCCTGCGGCTGTCCACCTCCGCACACCCCCGGCCCCTCTCCTGCGGCTGTCCACCTCCACACACCCCCGGCCCCTCTCCTGCGGCTGTCCACCCCCGCACCCCCCGCACACCCCCGGCCCCTCTCCTGCGGCTGTCCACCCCCGCACACCCCCGGCCCCTCTCCTGCGGCTGTCCACCCCCGCACACCCCCGGCCCCTCTCCTGCGGCTGTCCACCCCCGCACACCCCCGGCCCCTCTCCTGCCGCTGTCCACCTCCACACACCCCCGGCCCCTCTCCTGCGGCTGTCCACCTCCGCACACCCCCGGCCCCTCTCCTGCGGCTGTCCACCCCCGCACACCCCCGGCCCCTCTCCTGCGGCTGTCCACCTCCGCACACCCCCGGCCCCTCTCCTGCGGCTGTCCACCTCCGCACACCCCCGGCCCCTCTCCTGCGGCTGTCCACCCCCGCACACCCCCGGCCCCTCTCCTGCGGCTGTCCACCCCCGCACACCCCCGGCCCCTCTCCTGCGGCTGTCCACCCCCGCACACCCCCGGCCCCTCTCCTGCGGCTGTCCACCCCCGCACACCCCCGGCCCCTCTCCTGCGGCTGTCCACCTCCACACACCCCCGGCCCCTCTCCTGCGGCTGTCCACCCCCGCACACCCCCGGCCCCTCTCCTGCGGCTGTCCACCTCCACACACCCCCGGCCCCTCTCCTGCGGCTGTCCACCCCCGCACACCCCCGGCCCCTCTCCTGCGGCTGTCCACCCCCGCACACCCCCGGCCCCTCTCCTGCGGCTGTCCACCTCCACACACCCCCGGCCCCTCTCCTGCGGCTGTCCACCCCTGCACACCCCCGCACACCCCCGGCCCCTCTCCTGCGGCTGTCCACCCCTGCACACCCCCGGCCCCTCTCCTGCGGCTGTCCACCTCCACACACCCCCGGCCCCTCTCCTGCGGCTGTCCACCCCCGCACACCCCCGGCCCCTCTCCTGCGGCTGTCCACCCCTGCACACCCCCGCACACCCCCGGCCCCTCTCCTGCGGCTGTCCACCTCCACACACCCCCGGCCCCTCTCCTGCGGCTGTCCACCCCTGCACACCCCCGCACACCCCCGGTCCCTCTCCTGCGGCTGTCCACCCCTGCACACCCCTGCACACCCCCGGCCCCTCTCCTGCGGCTGTCCACCCCCGCACACCCCCGGCCCCTCTCCTGCGGCTGTCCACCTCCACACACCCCCGGCCCCTCTCCTGCGGCTGTCCCGGCCACGTGGGTCCCTGCTCCCCGGAGAGGAGGAGTCAGGCTCCAGCCCTGAGGGTGGGAGTCTGGGACCCGGGACCAGGGGGGCTGAGCCAGGCCCCTCTGCTTTCAGGATCCCGCTCTGGGGCGGCGTCCTCATCACCATCGTGGACACCTTCTTCTTCCTCTTCCTGGATAACTACGGTGGGTGCGCCCTCCTCTCCAGGCCGGGCAGGGCCGGCAGGGGCCTCTGCGGATCTGGGGAAGGGGAAGAGCAAGTCCCCGGACTCCTGTGTCTGCGGGAACGCGGGGAAATGGCAGCACAGACGGCACGGGCTGCGGGGAGGGTGCACTGAGGCAACATACGTTCAGCGCTTGGCACCGCGCCCGGAACAGAGCGCTCAGGATCTCCCCGTTCATAACGGCTTACGTTACGGCTTTTTGTTTTGTTTTTGTTTTGTTTTGATTGCTCTGCCCCTTTGCTCTCTCCCCAGGGCTGCGGAAGCTGGAAGCCTTTTTCGGGTTCCTCATCACCATCATGGCCTTGACGTTTGGCTATGAGGTGGGAAGCCAGGCCTGCAGCACCCCCACGAAGGCCACCCCTCTCTCCGCCCCCCGCGGAGCCCGAGGGGCCGGGTCAGGGTGGAAGGGGAGACGGCTGTGCAGGGCGAGGTCTGGCCTTACCGGGCTCCTCCCCGCAGTACGTGGTGGCCCGTCCAGCCCAGGGGCCGCTCCTCCGCGGGCTGCTCCTGCCGTCCTGTCCTGGCTGCGGCCAGCCCGAGCTGCTGCAGGCCGTGGGCATTGTCGGCGCCATCATCATGCCCCACAACATCTACCTGCACTCGGCCCTGGTCAAGGTGAGCGCGGGCGGGGGCGGGCAGGGAGAGGGGCCGGGGCCCTGGCCCTCACACCGCCCGGCCTCCGAGCCTGGGGCTCCTGAGGCCCATGGCAACGAGACAGACCAGCCGTCTGCCTCCCCGGGGCTGCGTTCTAGAGGGAGAGACACACCACGAGCCCGGGGACAGGCCGGAGAGAGCTCTAGGCTGTGCAGGGCGCCCTGAAGGACCCGGAAAGGGAAGTGGACAGAGAATGGCTGAGGCCGGAGCTGCTGCAGGAAAGGGGGTCGGGAAAGGCGTTTGTGAGGAGTGACCTTGGAGACAGGAAGGATGGGGGGCGATCGGGGAGAGATACTCTCAGCGGAGGGAATGGATCGGGGGCAAAGGCCTCAGAGAAACAGACCGGGCATGTGGGAAGGGGCCTGGGGCCAGGGCCGTCCCGGACTCCATGTAGGGGCTTCAGAAAGAACACGGAGGCGAGCGAGGGGAGGTGTTGGGTGGCACTGAGAGACCTTGGCTGTTCCCTGCCCTTTGACCTTTACAGTCTCGAGAGATAGACCGGAGCCGAAGGGCTGACATCCGGGAAGCCAACATGTACTTCCTGATCGAGGCCGCCATCGCCCTGTCTGTCTCCTTCTTCATCAACCTCTTTGTTGTGGCTGTCTTCGGGCAGGCCTTCTACCAGCAGACCAACGAGGATGCGGTGAGAGCCACCACAGCTCCCACACATCACAGCTACCGATCCACACACAGCTCCTACCCACCATACCTCCCCCACACCACACCTCCCCACCCACCACACCTCCCCCCCGACCACAGCTGCCCAACCATCACACCTCCCCACCCACCACACCTCCCACACATCACAGCTCCCCCCACCACACCTTCCCACCCACCACACCTCCCCACCCACCACACCTCCCCACCACCACAGCTCCCCCCACCACAGCTCCCACACATCACAGCTACCGATCCACCACACCTCCCCCCCACCATACCTCCCCCCCGACCACAGCTGCCCAACCATCACACCTCCCATCCACCACACCTCCCAATCCTCACCATTGCTGGGGGCCTCAGACCCCGAGCTAAAACCTTTGAGTCTCTGCTCTAGACTCCAGGCATTGGTAGCAAAGAGAGTCTATGATCCTGGCCTCTGGCTGGGACCCCCATTCCCAACCCACTGGAGAGACACAGCCCCCGACAGGCAGACTTAAAAAAAAAAAAACAACACAAAAAAAACAACTCACCCAAGGATATTTTTCTATTGATCCTCAGAGAGAGTGGAAGAGGGAAAGACGCAGAGGAATATGGATGTGAGAGGAACACATTGATTGGCTGCCTCCTGCATGCGCCAGGGAGGAGCCTGCAACCAAGGTACATGCCCTTGACTGGAACCAAACCCATAGGTCAGTAGGCTGATGCTCTATCCACTAAGCCAAACCGGCTAGGACCAGACTCTTTTTTTTTTATATATAATTTTTACTGATTTCACAGAGGAAGGGAGAGGGAGTGAGATAGAAACATCAATGATGAGAGAGAATCACTGATCGGCTGCCTTCTGCACTTCCCAAACTGTAGATTGCACCCACAAACCCGGGCATGTGCCTGACCAGGAATTAAACTGTGACCTACAAGTTCATATGTTGACGTTCAACCGCTGAGCCATGCCAGCCGAAACAGGCAGACTCTTGAGGGCCAAGGCCACACAAGGGGCTGCAAGGCACAGACATTCAGGGGAAGTGCCTGGGACACCCAGCACCCAGCGGCACCCGGAAAGCTGGGGAGGATTCGCCCGGCACGCTGCAGGGAGGTGGCTGGGAGGAGAGGGTGTCTGCCATGAGTACAGAGCGGGAACGCACAGCACTCATCCTCTCTTCCGAGCCCTCTCTCCTCAGAATCTGTTAGCAGACAGACTGGCATCCGCTCAGCACACACGTACCAAGCATCTGTTACGTGCCGGGCAGTGCCCTAGGTCCTGGGGATACAGGGACCAGTGACAGGAAGACCCTGCCCTCTCGCAGCTTAACTGTGGAGGGTGGTGAGTGGCAGGCAGGAAACCAATCAACAAACCAGATGGGAGAGCATGGTCAGGAAATGAAGGAAGCAATGACACTTCCCTGGGGAGGTGGTTAGGGAGGGCAGCGTTAGCCTGGTGGTGAGGAGAGGACTCTGGGGAGGAGGTGGCCTTTTGGCTGACTCTCCTGGGTCTGTGAGCTCCTGGGTCTGTGAGCTCCTGGGTCTCTGAGCTGTGCTGACTCCCTGTCTGAGTCGGTCTCTGTCATGAGGTCAGCCTTGGGTGCTTCCTGAATGCTGGGCACCGTGGCCTTGCTGTGTGACCTTTGGCGGTGACACCCCTCCCCGGTCTCATGATGCTCCTCCCCAGGAGGAGAGAGGTGTACAGAGGGAGGGCAAACCCTTGTCTTCAAGCCTGGGCCAGTCACGGGGCTGAGTGCAGTGGCCCCCTGTGAGGAAGAGAGGGCTGTGGCCCAGCTGAGTCATTGCCAGCTCTCCCAAACCCACCCCACCCTGGCACCCCGGGTCTCATGTGAGTTCTCCATGTTAAATGTTGGCAGTAAATTCACAGGAAAGAAAGAAATAACTTGCCAAGACCGGTGTGGCTCAGTGGATAGAGCATCTGCCTGTGGACTCAAGGGTCCCAGGTTTGATTTCGGTCAAGGGCACATCCCCAGTGGAGGGTGTGCAAGAGGCAGCTGATTAATGTTTCTCTTGGTTGCAGGCACATCCCCAGTGGAGGGTGTGCAAGAGGCAGCTGATTAATGTTTCTCTCTCATCGATGTTTCTACCTCTCTCCCTCTCCCTTCCTCTCTGTAAAAAAATCAATAAAACATATTTTTTTAAAAAAAGTTTGGAACAATAAATATGTAACTATCAACAAGTGAATCTAAAAACCAAGGGAATTAAAAAACCTGATGAACCATAATAACTGTTGAATATAATAGAATCAGAGGTATGGAAGGGGAGTGAACTGACGATTCTCGGGGGGAAAGAGGAGTGGGGGGTGCGGGAAGAGACTGAACATAAACTGTGCACCTATGGATGAGGACAGTGGGGGGTGGGGAAATGGCAGAGGGTGGGGTGGGAACCTGGTGGAGGGGAGCAATGGAGGGGAAAAAATGAGGAACTTTTGTAATAATATGAACAATAAAGATTTATTTTAAAATAAATAAATAAATAAGTTTAAAAAGACTGCCTGCACCTGGAACACTTCGGTCATGTGGACTCCACCTGCATGTGGGGCACCCGTGGCTGTCCTGGCCAGTTTTTTAATAAATCCTTGCCTGCTTAAAAAAAAAAAAGTTTGAATGAAAGAAAGAAGGAAGCAAGCAAGGAAGGAAGGAAGGAAAAAAGGGAAAGAAAGAAAGAAAGAAAGAAAGAAAGAAAGAAAGAAAGAAAGAAAGAAAGAAAGAAAGAAAGAAAGAAAGAAAGAAAGAAAGAAAGAAAGAAAGAAAGAAAGAAAGAAAAGAAAGAAAAGAAAAGAAAGAAAGATAAGATAGAAAGAAAGAAACAACTTGTCAGCCAAACAAAACCTGTCTGGCCAGACTCAGCTGGCGGCCCCCGTGGTCAGCCCCTGGCCCAGGCCTGGGGTCCGGGCTCCTGAGCCTGAGTGTGTGCTCCCCTCTCCCCCTCCCGCCCGCGCCCGCAGTTCAGCGTCTGCGCCAACAGCAGCCTCCGGGCCTACGCCGGCATCTTCCCCAGGGACAACCACACAGTGGCCGTGGACATCTACCAGGGGGTGAGTGCGCGGGGGCGGGCCTGCGGGCGCCACGCCCACAGAGGGCGGGGCCTATGAGAGGGGCGGCATCTCACAGGGGGCGGGGCTTTCAGGGCACCACGCCTGCCAAGGGCGGGGCTCTCAGAGGAGCGAGGCCTCACAGATGGCGGGGCTCTGCAGGGTGACACGCCCACCAAGGGCGGGGCCTATGAGAGGGGTGGGGTCTCACATGGGGCGGGGCTCTGTGGGGCACCACGCCCGCTGAGGGCGGGGCCTATGAGAGGGGCGGGGTCTCACAGGGACAGGGCCTTCAGGGCACCACGCCCACTGGGGGCGGGGCTCCCAGAGGGGCGGGGCCTCGCTCCTGACCACGCCCCTCCCCAGGGCGTGATCCTGGGCTGCCTGTTCGGGCCCGGGGCGCTCTACATCTGGGCCGTGGGCCTCCTGGCGGCCGGGCAGAGCTCCACCATGACGGGCACCTACGCGGGACAGTTCGTGATGGAGGTGGGCCCGGGGCGGGGGCGGCCAATGACACACCGCGGGGGCGGGTCCTTAAGGCAGTCCGGGCCTTTTTTTTTTTTTTAACATACCAACAATTACTTTATTTATTTTTATCTTCCATTTCTTTATTAAGGTAGTATATGCGTACCCATCCCACTCCCATACATGCCCGCCCTGCCGGAGCTCTGCGTCCATGGCTATGCGGATCTGCATGCGCCCAGGTCCCCGGCGGGTCTGCCTCCCCTCCCGCCCCGCTGTCAGCGGACAGCCCGCTCCTTGCTTCACTGTCTGAGTCTGCGGGCCTGACAGCAGCTGCCTAAGGCCCACGCCACAGACCCGAACACGCAGAACAGAGATCGGGAGGCCAGGCCACCGGCCCAGGCTGCAGCGCCCGGCCTCATGGGCCTCCCTCCCAGCAATCCGCTGGGAGGGCCCCTAGTCCACTGCGCCAGCACAGAGCTGCCCGGCTCAGACCGCCAGCGCAGCGGGCCCGCCGGAGGGGAGGAGGGAGAGGGGGCCCGCCGGAGCGGGAGGAGGGAGACGGGTCCCGCCGAAGGGGGAGGAGGGAGACGGGTCCCGCCGGAGCGGGAGGAGGGAGAGGGGTCCCGCCGGAGGGGCAGGAGGGAGACGGGTCCCGCCGGAGGGGGAGGAGGGAGACGGGTCCCGCCGGAGGGGGAGGAGGGAGACAGGGGTCCCGCCGGAGGGGGAGGAGGGAGACGGGTCCCGCCGGAGGGGGAGGAGGGAGACAGGGGTCCCGCCGGAGGGGCAGGAGGGAGACGGGTCCCGCCGGAGGGGGAGGAGGGAGACGGGTCCCGCCGGAGGGGGAGGAGGGAGACAGGGGTCCCGCCGGAGGGGGAGGAGGGAGACAGGGGTCCCGCCGGAGGGGGAGGAGGGAGACAGGGGTCCCGCCGGAGCGGGAGGAGGGAGACAGGGGTCCCGCCGGAGGGGGAGGAGGGAGACAGGGGTCCCGCCGGAGGGGGAGGAGGGAGACAGGGGTCCCGCCGGAGGGGGAGGAGGGAGACAGGGGTCCCGCCGGAGGGGGAGGAGGGAGACGGGTCCCGCCGGAGGGGGAGGAGGGAGACAGGGGTCCCGCCGGAGCGGGAGGAGGGAGACAGGGGTCCCGCCGGAGGGGGAGGAGGGAGACAGGGGTCCCGCCGGAGGGGGAGGAGGG